ATCACACAGTGAATACCTGTGTGTGGTAGAGAAAGCCAGTTCCAGTCCTTTGCCTTGACAGATGCTCACACTCTGGCCTTTGCCTCTTTATGGGGGGATGGCATCATTTGATGAGTTTGGCTATGTCACCTGCTTTGACTCAAAGAATGGGATGGAAATTACCACACTGTTTCTAAGACTGGATGGCCTTTAGAATTTCCATTTATCCTCTTGAGCTTATGCCATTACTTTGAGAAGTAGCCTCCCTAGTTATTGCTCAACCCCATTTCAGCTTGGGTCTAAAATGACCACACACAGGTCAGGGCTACTAAACACAGCCTAGGCTAGACCTGCCAACTCCAGTAGCCCTGGGGGGTAGTGACAATGAGTGACCATTGTTTTAAGCCTTTGAGTTTGGTGGTTTGTTTCTAGTATTTTTTAAAAATAGACAACCTGCCGACTAATATAATGTTCCTAGCACAGTATCTGTGACAAAGGAACTCTTAGTTCACTGTCCACAGAAGCTGTGACATGTTCTCAGGTTGGCCCTCCAAAGCCATCCCAGAGCTTCAGAGCTGCCTTCCCTCCATTCATCAGGTGTCATCCAGTGCTCAAGTGTGCATGCCGGATGTGAGGGATAGATAGATCCAATCACATAGCTGATGGAGAGAGGAGAGAGACACAGACAGACTAGAGAGATGGGTGATAGACTGATAACAGGAGATGATAGACAGTGAGATAGGTAAGATAGATAGGGGGTATGCCTTTCTCATTTGGGCTGATGGTTGGTCACAGACTCTGCAGGCCCCTGCTATCATGTCTGAGGCTGGGACTCAAACTCCACCTCTGCTGGTCAGGAAGGTAGGCTGGCTATAGAATGGAGAAAGCCCACAAGGACAGACTGAACACCATCAGTTCCTGATGCCTGGCCTTGAAAATCCATGTTCAGATGTGGGCAGGTTGGGCAGGAAGCACTAAATTCAGAGGGGTAGCTGCTCCATGGCAGTGAGGATCCTATAGCTACCCGAAGACACACGTGTTCTGCTGTGAGTCTGCTGAGTCCCCTTACCCAGACTCATGCTAGAATTTGTGAGTCAAAAACACCCAGGATGGGGGATTCTGGGGACTGTAGTTGTCATACCTAGTAGACACATTACATAACTACTATGCTTTAAACCCTCAGACCAATTGTTAGGATAACAGTCACTAATTAAGTGTCCTGGAAATGGTGTGGCTGTGATGGCTACATCTCAGGAAGTGAAGGAACATCATTAAGGGTAAGCTATATTTCATATTTGGTCTCATTTCATCCTTGAAATGATTTCTGGAGTGGGTAATGTATCAAACCTGTTGCACAGATGAGGACATTGGGCCCCCTTGCTTTTCCTTGGGCTGGACCTATGTCTCCAAAGGAAAGTAATTTATCCTTCTTGCACAGAACAGGTGACAAGTTTAAACTGATTACAGTTGTGTCTGATTGTGTTAATATTTGTATTGTCCTAATGTTTAGCAAGGTTGAAGAGCTTTTCGTTACTTGTCATCTGTATATATTGATACCAAAGATTCTAGGGGTTTTGCACTGAGTTATATCCCCAGCCCTTTCAATTGTTTTTATTTTGAGAGGTTTCACTAAGCCACCAAGTTGCCAGGGTTGGGCTTGAATTTATAATCCTCCTGCCTCAGTAACCCAAAGTGCAGGGATTAAAGCCATGTGACACCATCTTTGGCTTTATGACCACTTGTATGAAGCATCTATTTAAGTTCTTTGCCCATTTTTTAGTTGGATCATGTGTTCTTATATTGTTGATTTTGTTGCTCTTTATATATTCTGGACCCAAGACCTTTGTTGGATATGATAAAAATAGTTTCCTCTAGCCTATAGCTTTTAATTATCTTGTCTCTTTTGCTGAGAAAACATGCTTAACTTTCCAAAATTTTCTTTCATGGGCAACATTTTTTAAGAGTAATGCACACGAACTTTTGATTTAATCTTAGGTCATAAAGATTTTTCTATGATGATTTCTCCTAAAATTGTTGTGGTTTTCACTTTATATTACATCTGTGGTCTATTTGGAGGGAAATTTTGTATGAGAAATAGGTTAGGTCAAGATTCTTTTAATGTTAATTTTTATTTGCCTATGGGTATCCAGTTGTTTCAACACTGCTTGTTGAAAAAACTTTTTCCACTGACATGCTTTTGTACCTTTGTGGAAAAAAAAAATCAGTTGTGGGCTGGGGTATAGCTCAGCGGTAGAGCACTTGCTTGGCTTGCACATGGCCTTCGTTTGATTCCCAGAACCACCAAAATAATTTGTCATATTCGTGCTTGTCTATTTCTGAATTCTTTATGCAGGAGTTAACAGATTTTTTTGTGAAGAGTAAAATAATAAGTACTTTAGGTTGTATGGTTATATGGTCTCTGTGGGGGACAACTGTTGACTCCCTGTGAATGCAGAACAATTGCTGCAACTTTGATTATATGGAGACTTATTTCCTCACACTGATATGTACAGAGCTGGCTATGGTATTTCCTTTTCTCTTCAGTTGGCTCTAAGCACTGTAAATAAGGCTAGACAAGTTCTGATATGTAATCTCTAAAGCCATCAATCTCCTGTTTCCTCACATAGTGTTCTCTGTGAAAGATATGAGCACAGCTGGATGTTTGAGCCCTTAGCTCTAGGAATGTCAACTGGGTATGAGCCTCAAGGTAAAGAGCAGACTCCCCAGGGCACAAAAATTTACCTATCAGAAACTGAAGCAACAGTCTTCTAAAACAATTCAGTTGCCACCTCAATTGAATTATGCAAATTGATCCTTCTGCATATCCTTATCTCTGTATTTTGCAGAGGTGCTTTTCCCCCCACCTGGCCAGCCAGCTCAGGTTACTCACTTAGTTCCTGCCATCCTCACTGTCACTCATCCTTGAGCCACCGCCTTCCTTCACAAGATAATAAATTCTGGGAGAGGCCTAGGATCAAGGCCTTTGTCTGCATGTCCTCACAGGGATTGGATTTAGGACCCCTTGGCTGCCTTTAACTTGGGTATGTCTTGATGTCTTTACTCTTGCCATGGGTTGCACTGGTGGTGGTAGTTTAGAATTAACTTTCTGGGATTCCAATAACATCTCAGTGGGATTACAAATACAACTTTTTGGATTATGAGGAAAACTGGAAAAAGGATTATGGTACTTGGATAACTGTACTCAATATTTGGGATTATAATAGTCTCTGCTTTATAAAAATTTGATTTTATGAATTTTAAAGAATACTATTTAAAGACCATTCTCAGCTTATAGGTCATACAAAAACAGATCCTGGCCAGATTGGGTCTTTGGGCCACAGTCTGCTGACCCTGTTGTTTTGTACCATTGATCTGTGTCTTTCTCATCACTGATACCACATTGTTGATGATGGCAGCTTTATAGGAGGTCTTAAAACTAGGGAGTAGGAGTGTCGCATCTCTATTCTCTGGCTCTTAACTAGGGCTTTTAGACTTAGGTTTTATGTAATTATTGATAGGTTCAGACACAGACCTACCATTTTATTCATTGCTTTCTTTTTTTGTGGCTGTTATTATTCCTATCTGCCTGCTATCTTTTGGGTTTGGGAACATTTTAAAACTATTTTTATTTTAATTTTTGTTACTTTTTTGGCCTACATCACAGAGTATAGTTTATTTTCTGATTACACTAGGGATTATCAGAATATACATACTTCACTGAGTGTAGTCTATGAATCAGTACCTCACCACTTTTAAGTGAAATGTGGTTATATAACCCCATGTAGACCCTTAATCCTCCCCCTTTATGTAATCACTGTCTTGTGATATCCACAGACATTAAAACCCCCATTGGACCATTGGCATTGTGTGCTTTCAGCTCATATTCTTTAAGGAACTCAAGAAGGCAGAAGCACCTGCTCTATCAAGCCAGATACTCACATTTCCTGCTGCTCTACCCTCACTCTGGGTGGTCCATCTTTCCTTCTGGCGTCTTTGCTTTCTACATTTAGGGCAGATCTATGAGTCATGAGTTCTCTTAGTTTCCCTGAATTTGAGAATGTCTGTCTCAGAGTGCCAATTTCATTTTCACCCCTGAGGGATCTTTTCATGGGTAGGAGGAGTGATTAAAATATAGTGAATGCTTAAATCAAGACATTAGTATAGTAAAAGACACACTGCCATCAATCCTCACAATGCTCCTCACTTCAAACACATTCAACCCATCATTGTCACTACTTTCTGAAGTTGAGAGTCCTCTTTCTTATCTTTACAAGGTATAATAAAAAATTTGGTGAACGTGTTTGATGAGTGTCACCTACAGAAAAGTAGGCTCCTAAAAACATCACAGTGCATCCTCATCCACCTTATTCACTGGAGTTGGCACCATGTAACTTCTGGCTTTGCTGCAAAATAGAAAAGACCATGGAAGGCATGCTCTGAATCCCTTTAGGACATCAAGGCAGTAATGATAATACAACTAAAGATGCTTCGGCTCCCACACTGTCCAACCTGGGGGCTAAGGTTTTTCTCATGGAGACAAGGAAATTCTAGGAGCCAGGCCTGGGAGTTCAGAGGCCTAGCCCTGCCCAGGGATCAGGTGGCCTGCCCGCCTTCCCTTTCTCTTTGCCTGCCCCAGAGGACACACCTTGTTCACCATGGGGACCTGCTTATTTTCTTATCACCATGCTCACCCTGACTCAAATGTGTTCAACTGCACTGCCCATCAGAGAGAGGCGGCTGACACAGAGGGCTCAGGTTCATATCTGATTCCGGTGTCATGAATTTTAGCAAAGCAGATACTCACTGCAAAGCATCCGAGCTGGCCCACCCCCAGCCCCAAAGTGACAGGAAACGAACAGTCCGTAAATGCCTCAACATTAAACATTACTTTGGCTAAGGCAAGGTAGTCAATTTTGACACTGTTACAAAAAATACAGCCTAATTTCTGTTCAAATGCACCAAATTTACTGCTCAAATTCTCATTAACTACTGTCAAGGGAGAAGCAGACAGACAAGATAAATTATGAAAAAATTACTTTTTTAATGTACAAAAAGACTTATTTACAAGTTGAGCATGTCATCTCAATTCATAGCATGTAGAAAAAGCTAAAAATGTTTTGGAGATATAAATTTGGCTGGACAATTCACCTACAGTATATTCAAGGATGGTGTCTTCTGCACAGAATATATATAGGCTAGGAACAGAGAGTGCAACCCCAGCTTAGGAGGGGAACATAGGCCACCACAAGCTGCAGAGCCTCGGTGATGTCCCAGGACTGTCACTGGAGCTGGCCTTATCTCTGGGCCTTAAGGAGTTTAATGTGCAGGGACACAGGGGACCCAGCCCATCAGGTTCTGGCCCTGTTTGCAGGTGTTGCTAAGAAGTTCCCCACCAGAGCCAAGTCACAGAGACAATGAAGCTCAAGTGATACAGTTGGTTTGGCAGGTTGCTATAAATTCAACAGAAAGTCTCGGATGTGTGTGCACACATGCATGTGTACACACATGATAGTGCAGAAGATGCACTGATTTATTCTGCAGGATGCTCAGGAATGTCTTCTCAAAGCCAGTTCCAAATTCCACTTTGAGGTGAGGCTTAGTTACAATTGAACAGGACAATTCAGTGACGATCCCTCAGAGTCTGAGAACCAACCCCTTCACCCTCCCACCCCCATCCCAAACACCATGCATGTCATCATTCTCTGCCAAGTAACGGGAGGGAGGGAGGAAAACACGGAGGTTAAGAGTCCGGAAGGTACTGCGGCTGCATGTTGTGGCTTGGCCTGGACCACTGGGCTGCTGGCAGTCAATGGCCACTCAGTGCAGCTTAGGAGAGACTGGGCAGAGGCCACTGTCAAACCCTTGGGTTTTCCTTAGTAAAGTGGGCAGATAGTGCATTGGAGAAACAAGGATGGGTAAACATGCGACTTCCTCTTCCTACAGGGAGGGCTCCCAGGTGCATCCCCAACTCCTCGAGGCCTTGTCCATCTCTTACCTGCAGCAGCTTGGGTAGCCCCGAGGTATATAGGAGCAAGCGTTCTTTTCGGGAAGGGCTATATTTTCCATGCAGGAACACTGTAAACACGGGCAGCCTTTGGACTTGCCCCACACAGTACACTATTTCCTTTCTCTGGCGATATTTAAATATTTTATTCTTTCACATACACTTGGCCAATCTGTTGTCCCAAACCCTGCTCCAGAGGGTACAGATGCCAACTCTACCAAACCTGGAATTACAATTTGCTTTCGAAACTCAGCAGACTGTGATTTTCTCCTCTCTGGCAAGGGATCTCAGCAACCTCAAGTCTTAAGCTCAAAGAAGAATCCGAGGAAGCCCTGAATTCCTTCTGTGGGCAGGTGGCAGAATGAGAAGCCCATCTCTCCAGAGCAGAATCTCCGGTACTGCTTTCAGATTCAAACCCAAACATGGCTCCTTACCTTCTCTCTGCATGAATGTGAATGCTACTGGTCAACACAATTCCTCACTAGCCAAATGACAGAGTGAAGAAGCCAGAACAGAGTGGTTCCATGAACACCAAAGGCTGACAAACGCTGTGTATGTGAGCTTTTCACTCCTTCCTTTCCTTCCCAATTGAGACTCTTTTTAGTGTTCCAAAATATAGTCTAAGAGAGCAAAGAGGATGCCTATAGACCTTCTCCTAAAACATCCATGGCCTGAACCAGTCACTGGCAAAAACTCTTCAGGCCGACTTAATACTACTTTTTGAAAAAGATGAAATGGATGGGAGGGTGGAAAGTGAGGACCCCTCTGGTCCTGCTCTGTGCCAGGGTTTGGGACCTAGGTCATCATGTTCAGGAACTTGTTCTCCTCGGCTAGGCTAGTGAGCATGGAGCTCATGTCCCCAACTGCCATGTTGCTGATGCCTGCAGGGATGGAGGGTAGGGTCAGGGAGTTCCGGGGGGTGGTGAGGCGGGAGGAGCTCTGGGAGAGGTTGTGGAGGAGGCTAGGGCTCAGCACGCCAGAGAACAGGCTCGAGTGATCACCGTCATCCATGATGGCATCGAAGTCGATCTGGGGGGCCTCCAGGAGCTGGGAGTCCACGGTGCTGGACACCTGGTTGACCCCTGGTGAGGGCAAGGATTGGGGCTGGACACTGTCTGGGCAGGCCTGTGGTTGTGGTGGCTGGAGTCTTGTGTTTGGGGAGCCACCATGGCCTTCCAGGCTGCCATTCTGTTCGTACATGTGGATCTGGCCATAGTAATAGACCATGCTGTGGTCCTGCGTCCCCCCTACATCCTGCGAAGCTAGCTGAGGAGGCAATGACCTGATGGTGTCCACTGTTCCCTTAGGCACAGCCTCTGCTGTCTCCTGACCAGCTGACATGGTAGCCATGGTCTGGCCGGTGGCCCTGGCATAGGCCAACTGCTGTTGCCCAGCACGTACTCCACGGTGGCGGCCAGCAGGACTGGGCTCCAGGGGTGGTCGGGGTTGTAATAAGCCAAAACTGGATGTAGTTGGTCCCATGGATCCCTGCTGAGGCTCCATGAAGCCAGGCTGATGGGAAGGGAGCAGGCTGGGGGCCTGGTGGTAGCCTTCCTGACTCAGGGGGGCTGCTAAGTGATGGCTCTGCCCTGGGTAGCTCTGGGCTGCATGCAGTGCTGGCACCCCTAGTTCCCTGCAGTGGCTGCCCATCAAGGCAGGGTCAGAGGCAATTTCCATCTGCTGAGGGAGCCCCAGGGGGCCTGGCTTGGCTGTGATGCTGCTGCAGGGGGTGGGGAACGGGTTCAGGGCCCCACTGACACTACTGGGGCTCAACTGGGAATGGGCTGGGCCATAGTTGGTGTGGGAGCTCCCAGTGGCAGTCATGCTGTCACATTGGGTCCCTGTGGCTGGGTGTCGAAGTTGCTGCATGTAGTTACCTCTGGTTGCAGAGAGGGCCACGTTGCGCGACTGTGTGCTATCCAGAACCCCCGGGCTCGGCTGTAGGCCCTGTGCACTGTAGCCAGGGTACTGGCCAAAGGCTGGCTTCTGCTGTACCACAGCCAGGTTGCCCTGGGAGAAGGATGGTGGCTTCACCTGGCTGGGCAGGGCGTCCACAGTGCCAGAGCTCACCTCATTCCACTGCACTGGCATGTTATTTTTGTTCAGGCTGGAGGGTGCCCCATAGCCCAGCTGGCAGCCTCCCATCCCAGGGGCAGAGGGGCCTACATTAGAGTCTGCAGCTGCTACCCTACGATGGCTGTGCAGCCCGGGGCTGGGCAGTTTGGGGTTCTCAGGGAAGCCAGTGCTTTCCGTGGGATAGAGCTGTCTTGTGTTCTCATCCAGTGCACCACCAGTGTGTGCCTTGATGTACTGCACCACGTCGTCGGGCAGTACCAGGTCGTCTTCTGGCAGCCCCAGATCAGGCTCGGGCCCTGTGCCATCCACCCCTGTGGCCATGGCCTCCATCACCACATTCTCGCTAATGCTGGGTGGCCGAGGCGAATATGCGTTGCGGACCAGGCTGCCCTCCAGGCTGGTATGATTCTGCAGGCGGAGGCCACGCCTCTCCGTGCAGGGCAGCAGTGGGGCAGGGTTCATGTTGTGTGCGCTGTGGAAGCGCTGCACGCGAGGCAGTGTCAGGCCTTCGGGCCGCCGCACAGGGTCGCTGGCCCGCCGGGCTCCACCGCCAGGTGCCTCGTGGGGGAAGGCGGGCGCAGCCCCCAGGGGGCTGTGGCCATAGATAGGCCCGTCACTGCCACGCCGTGGCCCCAGGGGGTGTGGGCAGTTGCCCGGAAGCGCACGCTCAGGTGCGTCCAGCAGCGCCAGCCTGGTCCGCAGGCTCATGCGCTCCAGGCCAGGCAGTGGTGTAGGTGGTGGGCCACCTGTGGCCGCAGCGTACTTGGCCCGTAGACTATATTGCTGTGCTGGCGTGAGGTTGAGCAATCCTGAGCCGCCACCGCTACACTGGCTCGCCTCGCTGGAGCGCCGAGAAGCATCGGTGGAGATGGGGTCGTAGGAGTCTGCGGAGCTGGCATTGTGCGGCCGGCCAGCACCCAGGGGCGAGGCTTCGCTGGAGCGGCGACTAGAGAAGTACGGGGAGATGCCGGAGGAACGGCGGCTCACGGTGTAGGCTGAGCTGACCGTGCTGGTGGAGCTGTCACGGCGCTCCTGCAGCTGACTCAGCATGGTCACCTCACTAGCAGATAGCTCAGACAGCCGAGGGTTGGGCAGCAGCCCTGCTGGCCCACTGCCCCCAGGGCCACTGAAGTTTTCCAGGATGGAGCCTGCGGGAAAGCAGAAGGGTCAGCAGAGGGGGCACAGGCTCTGCTCTGCCTGCTCTGATCTTGCTGAAGCTGTCTGCTGAGACCTGAGGCCCAGAACTGGGTGGCACAGCAAGCACTCAGCAGAGGATCTGTGAATGGAAGAATGGAGGGGAACAGTGTGTGCCTGCCAAGTGGGGAAATGAGCAGAAGCCAGGAGGCCTGGTCCCTGTCTCAGCTGCCTCCTTGGGGGTATGTAGGTGCAGGCTCCTCCAAGGGGCTGAGTGACTGGCAGGAGGAATAAGGATCCTAGGAGGGCCCAGGCACAGTCCATGGAGTAAAGTGCCAGTGGGGCTCCCCTGCGATGCAGTTTAGTAGCAGGCTGCTTAGAGGAAACACCCTGAGATCCCCAGCTGTGGAAGGAAAGACAGGCTGCAGGAGTACAAAGAGGAGAAGGGAGCCTAGGTGGATCTCAGTGGGAAGGCAGGACCTCCGGCAGGCTTTCTGTTGTTGGGCTGAAATGGGGGGCCTCTGACACTCCTGCAGACTACTGGCCCCCTAGAAAGGGTGATCATAGACAAGGCAGCTGTCTGCAACCCAGAAATCCTAGAGGATCCTCAAGGCCATCTGCCAACAGGCTAAGCAATACATTTTCTTTAGGGAAGACTCAGCGGTAAGTCAGTATCTAGCACAGTGGGCTGTCAGACCCTAGAGGGCAGCCTGGATGCTAAATGCTCAGTAGCCAGCACAGATCTCTGCACACACTCTGCATCCAAGTGATGCTCACTGGATAAACCATCCATCACAAACTGCTGGCTAAACACAAGGCCACCTTCTCCATGAAGTCCTCCCTCTCAGCTGGATGAGCTTTCTCCTTGCGCTGCACAGCACTACCCTTAGCTCTGTCATTGGTGCTACCTGGCTCATCCTGCAGCAGAGTGGGAATCTGGTGTCATGGCTTTCTGACCATGGACTCCATGGGGATTGGGACTCCACTGCTGCCTTCCTTCCTAAGCCTTCGCCATGAGGCCCACATGAGGCTTCACAAATGAATGAAGGACCAGAGAAGGAGGGAGACAGTGTGAGTAGGCCTGCCTGATTTTAGTGGGTGATGGGATGCGGCCTGGTGCAGGTGAAAGACCAAGGGCATTGGAATCCCATGGGTTTACCCTTGCCCTTGACTCACAACCAACACTGTTTCCTCTCTGATGCTGCTTCCTTACCTGTGTGCAATGAGCTATAAGAGCCATTTTATGGTGGGCAGCCAGGAAGTGGCCTACCTGATACAGCCCCAGGTTCTCTCCTGCCCTCCTGCAGACCCCTGGCCTCCACTCACCACTTGATGGGAGGGGAGGCAGCTTGGTGTTCCGGGTGTGTGGGGCTGGGCCAGCCCACGAGCAGGAATCCTTAAGTGACTTAAGCTTCTCTCTCTTGAGCTGCTCGAACCGGTGCATGGAGTTCACATGTTTACGCAGATGCAGGCCACCAGCAGATGGGGCAGCCAGGGCTGGGGCGTCAGCCCCCGGTGCTGTGTCATCCAGTGCCGTCAGGTCTCCCAGGCTCCCAGGCCCCGCCCCCGGCATCTCCACACCGCTGTCATTGTTGGGGGCATTGCCCAGGGGAGAGGGCTCACTGCTGCAGGATGACTGGGCCCCGGGGCTGGAGTGACACAGCTGCAGGAACAGGGTGGAGGGTACAGGCTCAGGGATGTGAGGGCACACTGGTTGTGTGCCCACCCTGCATCCACACTGTTCTCTTGCACCCTCAGGTAGGGGCCTAGGAGACGAAAGCACCTGCCTCCTAGCAGGGCTTGTAAACCATCACTCGTCTTTCTGCATACAATGGTCAAGTCTCTTCCCTGCTCTCAGCCTTGGCTTTCCTGACTATGAGATGGATGTGAACTACTTGTCATTCACCTTTTGAGCAGAAGGTAACCAATACAGCTGGACATAAGGCAGTGAAGCCAAGAGAGAGGGTTGGATTGAGATGGCTGTTTAGGCAAGGGCTACATCCCATAGCTCACTGTTCCTTGTCACACTTTCCAATCACCTGCATTTGGCCTGTTGAGAGCTCACCACCTGGAAGAAGGCAGCAAGTCACTGGCTTTCACTGTTCCTTACTTTATCATAGACATCTCTTGGGTGGGGTGGAGTGTGGTACGGTGCACATGTATTGTCTGCAAGGCCACAAACTCAGGCTACAAGCACCGTGGCCAGGGTAGATGGGTACAGATGAGGCTCACCCTGGATACAGCACCTGGGCTTGTTTCTGGGCCACCTGCCACCAAATTTAAGCCCTGTCTTTAAGAAGCTGCAGTGCTGCGTCCAGCCTAGGCCACAAGCTCCAGGTAAACAGGAACCTGTGAGGCTTCATCTATAGTACCTCTGCTCAGTCCTCAAGACCTCTGTAGGTCAGCCAACTCCACCTCTGCAGCTTTGGTTCACACTTCTCCTTGCTGGCCTTTCTGAGCTTCCTCTCACGGCTCCCCAGCCCCCTCCTGCCAGCCTTTACTTCCTCTAAAGGCTTTGCTCACCCTGCTGTCTGTCTCTTATGGTCCTCAACCCAGGAGCCCTGGACTGACAGTGACCTGGACATCCAGCCCACCCTCTCTGGGCCCAGCCCACCCCTATCCCTCACCTGGTTCCACTGCTCACCTCAGTACCGTCTATCCTTAGGGGAGGTAGAGTTGGGAAGAAAGATGTGGAGACAAAGAACAGGTGGTTAGAACAAAAGGAGCAGAGATCAGAGGGGGAGGACACAGAATAGGACAGAGGCTTGCAGCCTGGCAGTGGCACTGGGGTGCTGCTTAGAGAGGTGGACACCAGGACCACTCCCACCCCACTCAGACCAACACAGGAGCCTGGGCATGACAGATGCCATGTGAGGCCCAAAGAGGTAAAGGCAGAAAGGCTGAGTTGGAAACGGGAGGGATACCTGCTTGCTGCAGGATGGGGGACCCTGGCAGAGAGCCCACTATTGGAGCAGAGCTCGGGGCACAGTGCACTCGGCCAGCTGAGCTTCACAGCTCTGCTTACCCCGGAGCCCTCTGTTTTGATGGCTCTGACATGCACGCAGTCCTCCACTGCCTGGCTGGTGCTGCTGGCCTCAGTACTGTCCTCTGATCCCTGGCCACTAGGCTCGATGCTGGCCTCATTGTCCCCGTTCTCCTTGAGCAGCGGGGCACGGAGGTGCACATCGTTGCGTTGCTTCTTGGTGACATGTGCATCTGGGCCGTGGACTGTTTTCACATGCTTCCGGAGTGAGCTGGGGTCTGTGTACCGCTTGGTACATCCTGGGATCTTGCAGATGTAGGGTTTCTGGGAAGAGAATCAGGGCTGCGCTATGGATATGGCAAGATGACAGGCTCCATGGGTGCACCCCCTGTCCTGAGGCCATCTTGTGTCCCTTGGCAGACCTGGCTGGCAAATGAGGCAGGATTTATTTGGAACCAGTGCCCTGGGGATGGCATCATGCCCTGGCCTGGTCCTGTGTGCCACTGTCACATGCAGGTTAAGTGCATGGTCAGGGGAGCTCCTGCTACAAGCGGCTGGAAAGAAACCAGAAAGGGACACACATGCCTGCCCTGTAAACTGCACTTAGGATTGCTAGGACAAATATAATGAGTATGAGCTAGTCACACCCTGTGAGGCAGGGCCAGCAGCCTCGGCTTCTCTGATGAAGAAAGACAGGCTTGAGGGCGAAGAAACTTACACCTGGTAAAGGGATAAGAAGCCAGGTCTGCAGAACCTTGGTCCTGGGCTCATTCATCACCTGTCACATTCACACCCACATATCTACTTACAATATGTAAGTATATACCAACATATATACCAACCCCTACACCTACTTATAAGCATACATGTACATGTGCACACACGCATTAATCCATCCATATCTACAAAGTGCATGGATATGCTTACAAATACACATACACATATGAACACACATATACTGCTCCCACCTCCACATCCTTACACTCATACACATGCACCACCCCTCCATACCTGTATGTATACATGCATCCACCTATACAGCCTACACACATGCATACATCACCCTTCCAAACCTACACATCCTTACATACACATATGCTGCCCACATCCACATACATGTAGATACTAGTGCACATATACCACCCCTCCACACCTTCATGATATATTTGTATATACACTTACACACATCTACCACTCCTACATCCACACAGGAGCACATACTGATAGGTATACATATCTCACCTCGCCACACTTGTATGCACACATGCATATGCATATACCACACACATACATTCATCGCCAAGGCAGCACTTACCTGTAGAGACCCCAAGGATTTTGAGGTCTTTGAGAATTCCTCAAATTTTCCACAAACATTGGAGCCAGGTCCCTCTGGGCCCATACTGTGTCTAAGCAGTCAGAAAGGCACTCTCTGGAGTTTGCCTGAGTTACAGGGATTGTGTAGCTGGGCTAGGAGGGTGCAGACAGACACTGCGGGCTCCTGCCAGTTTCCTCTAAGGGACGCTTAGTCCTGCCAGGGATTCTGCCTGTCCAAGGAGACAGCATCACCATTGTCCTACCCAATGAGGCAGCTAGCTGCTCCACAGGCCACCAGCTATGGTGAAACCTGTGTTGGGACGCTGTCTACTCTGCAGAGGACCCAGTGCTCTACAGGCTAAGCCTGTGGCTCCACCCTCACACTGTGTGACTGGAGGAACAGTCACTGTCTCTCTGAGCATCTGCTTTGTCTGAAAGATTGGGATGCAGAACTCACCTAATGGCCTATGGAGCAAAGACCAGATTCATGGGTGCTGACACATTCTCTGGGAGATGGGAGAGCCACTCTACCTGGACATTGGAACTTTTAGCACTATTTACGTTTATTATAGAGAGAAGGAAATAGAGGGTATCTTTTTTGTCAAATAAAAGGACATAGCACAGAGTGCTGATCTGTGTTCCAGAATGTTCTGCGGGTAAGTGGCAGTGGAAGGTCACCCATGTACCTGGCTTCTTCCTGGCCTACAGGTGTCTACAAGCCATGCTCAGTGACCCACACATGCACGTGCCACCCCAGTGCACACGGGCTACAGTGGGTACCTCATTTGAGTGGGTGCGGTTCTGGTGCTTGGCGCGGTCAGAGGCATTGGAGAAGGCCTTGTTGCAGCCCTCATGCTCGCACACGTATGGCTTCTCCCCGGTGTGGGAACGCAGGTGTGTCTTCAGGTTCTCCAGGCGGGAGTAGGCCTTTGAGCAGCCCTCAAACTGGAAGCAGGTAGGTGAAAAGTTGGAGGCACCTCGAACCCGATGCAGGGGAGTTCATCCCAGGTGCCAGCCCACCACCTCTTCCCTCTTGCCCTCCCTTCACGGCTCCACCCCACTAGTGCACCCAGAAGCATGAAGTTTAGTGCTAACATTGCTTTCTGTTATGATTTGTGTCTAGATGTCCCCCAAAGCCTCATGCATAGATAGGGTTTTTTCAGAGGGGGCTGAATCCAGAGTATGTGATGCTAGGATTAAGGCTGTGTGATTACTAATCAGTCCACTGACTGTTTGGCACAGTTTTAGCTGGGATTAAGGGTGTGAGTGCTATACCTGCCCTAGGGGCAGGTAGCCTGCATATCATATATGGAACAGAAAGTCTTATCTCTTGTTGCTTTTGCTGTCTTCCACAGCCATGAACTACTGTCATTCTGCCAAGTGCCACCCTGTCTTAGAGCCACCCGATTATGGACTGGATCCTTTACAAACTAAATAAACCTTTTTCCTTTAATTTTGGGCTTTGAGTATTTTGTCTCAATAGCAAAGGAATAACTAAGAACTTTTCTTTCCAGGAAACTTGGAAAGGGCTGAGAAATACACAAACGAACTCATAGTTTATCAAAGACCTCAGTGAAACAGCTATACTATAAGTGTATATATTCATGTTACACATTGATAAACTGTAAGACTCTTAGAAGAAAGAGAAATGTTAAATCTTTGTTAAATCCTTGAATTGAATTTGTTTGTGTTTTTATTGTTGTTTCATAGCCACAACAATAAAAGCGCAAGAAAATAAAACATTGAACTTCACCATATTTAACTTTTTATGCTTCAAAAGAAATTATCAAGAAAATAAAGACAATCCACAAAATGAGAGAAATGTTTGCAAATCACATATCTGACAACAATGTAGCACCTAGGTATATAAAAATTCTTATAATATAATGACAAAAATAAGGCAGGTAAAAATGGGCAAAAGGTTTTCAGTAGACAGTTCTCTAGAGATGATAATCAAAAGCCCTTTAAGCACTGTTGTATCATTAGCCATTAGGGAAATGCTAATCAAACTCACCACGGTAAGATACCACTTCAGACTCACTAGCACAGTTACAATAAAAAGACAGGTGAGGTCAAGTGAGGATGTGGAGAAACCAAAACCCTTTTACATTGCTGATGAGAAAGAATGTGCAATGATTCAACCTTTTTGGAAAACAGCCCGACAAGTCCTCAATTACTGTATAAATGGGCAAGTCCATTCCTAGCTGTATCTGCCTAAGAATACATGCGAATATATGTCCACAAAAACACGTGCATGAAATTTGCAACAGCATGATTTGTAATAGCTCCAAGCAAAACACCACCTGATGAGGAAATGTCATCTAACATCCCATAGAATACTATACAGCAAAAAAAGGACTAATCTACTGTTTCATGCTGCAACATGGGTGAATCTTTAAAATATTAAGCAAGAGGAGCCGGACACAAGTGCTAAATACTGCAGATCCCTTTTTTATGAAGTGTTCAGAGTAGGCCAGTCATGGACAGAATGCAGATTAATAGTTTTCCAGGGCTGGAAGGAGAGTATGGGGAAGGGCTGCTAATATATACAGTTTTTTTTAAAGGTTATGAAAAAATTTTGAATGTAGATAGTGGTCACAGTTGTGGAACTGTTGATATCAAACCATCCAGTTATACATTTTTTTTTAAAAGGGTGAGTTTTATGGTGTGAATTTTATCTCAATGCAATCAACTTGTCAACAAAGGCAGCTCATTTTATGCAGTGTTGGAGACCATCCATCTCAAGACAATTGGATTTCAGAGGCATTACAATTAGAAGAGAATACACTTTCCAGAACTATGAAATAAAGTCAAGAGGAGTTCTCAGAGGCTTCAGCTGCAGTCCCATCAGCAGTCTGGGTCTACCTCTACTTTTGGAGAAGGAGTAATTTCTGTGTGCTACAAACAAAAAGCGTCACTGCTTAGACTCACAACTCCTGTTGCTTCCATCAGAGACAGTGTACAAAGTGTCTTATCTTTGCGTTCCCCCTTCTACTTTTCCTAAACAAAAACAGAGACAAGGTGATTTCTAACCCATCATTGCTCTATCATCAATCACCGAGGATATGTTTCCCCCATCGCTACTATAGGACATGATCCCCCTAACCAGTGTCTGCAAACTGCATGTGGGGTACATGATGCTTTGGGGTTCATGACCACAGGCTGGCAACATCAGCACATCCTCACCATCATTACCAGGTGGCTCACACCTACAGAGTCTCAATGAGTGCTGAGACAGCAGCAGATAAGAGGCCTTGAGGGCCCAAGGCAGGCAGAAAGCCAGGGCAGGAAGAGACAAGACGACCTCTCAGCAAGACCTGTCCTGTACTGCTGCTGTGGTCCTTTCACCTTGACCTGCATGCAGACAGCCAGACACAACTCCCCTGACCCAGTGACACTGGGCAGGGACACTTACCGTGCACTTGTGCGGCTTCTCGCCAGTGTGCCGCCGCATGTGGACCACCAGCATATACTGCGCTTTGAAGGGCTTCTGCTCCCGCGTGCAGGCCTGCCAGCGGCACACGAACTCCTTCTTCTCCCCGTGGATATGCTCATTGTTGATGTGCTGCCAGGAGACGAGTCCATGAGGGTGAGTCCGGGTGCCTCCCTGCACTACCTTGTCCACAGTGTACAGACCACCACCACAGAGAACACTGCCTGCTGTCAGCTGAGCACCTAGCTGACCCCAAGGCCCCTTCTCCGTTGCCTGTGACCACTCACCCCACTGGGCCTCAGCTTTGTGCCAGGGTACTGCTGCTCGTGGTCAGCAGACTCCTTCTGTCTGGGTACCACCACCATGTACAGAGCATTCTCACTGCCTACCTCTAGTATGTGCAGACCACTGACCCACGCTTTCCATCTAGCCTTCAGGCTAGGTGTATAAGGTGTATGCAAAAAATGAGTTAATCTTGTGTTTATAAACTTAGGTCAGCATTTCCAAGATATCTCATTATAGGTATCTGAAAATCCAAAACCTCGAAAATCTGAAACACTTCTGGTCCCAAAATTTTGGATAACAGATAGTCAACTTGTGTTAAATTAACTTCACCACCTTCCTTGTACTCTTTTAAAGTATCCTTCTAGGAGATGTAAAAAGGCATATGTAGCTGCCACGGGTGGCTTATAGTCTCTCCTCCTGGATGGCGCTGGTGTGGACCTCTGCAAATGGCAAAGCTGCCTGAGAACTGGAGGTCAGGCACTGGCAGTACCTGGTCCTGGAAGACAAAAGCCATTCAGCCCTCATGCCCCATGCATCAGCCTGGCTGCCACGCATACCAGTGCCACTGTAGGAATGAGCAAAATGCACAGTGCTTTGAACCTCCAGAGAGATCTCAGATTAGTCTCACGTTCTATTTTTAAAGCCTTTCAAGTGATAAAAATGCTCCCTGACAATGCCTTTCATTTTTCTCTTATTGGTTTACTCAGCAACAAATTGTTAGTAATCAGCAGGGCTTCTGCTCTCTTGTGTTCCTGCATCATCCATCTTCCAAGGCAAAGCTGGGCTCCTCAGCTGACCGGTCGCCTGTTTCCGGGCCAGCTGGAGGAAGCCACCTACAGCCACAGGGACACTCGTGGGCATGGGGAGAGGCTTGTGTCCCTCTTCTTGGTCTAAACCCCTCTGCCTTGGTTGATGAATTCCCTGCCTACATTCTGAGTAGTATCTGAGGCACAGAACACGTATTTTACACCCTCACCTCTGCACTTTTGCTGAAGTCAAGCTCCAGACGGAAATACTGCCCCTTCCTCCTTCAATCTGATCTGATCTGCCCTGAGATCTACAGCTCCAATTGCCCCTTCTCCATCATTTGCCCCCCAAAAGTGGTACAGGTCGAAATTATCTTCAAGTGCCAGGAGAAATTAGAACCTGGCTCACAGGTTCACTTAAGTTGAAATGACTTTGCTGGGAAATTCTGTTGTCTTGGGGGAGAATTTGGAGAGGAAGAACCTAAACACAAAAGAAACTTGCAGTGTTTGACAGCAAGTTGCCGGAGAAAAGAAAGTGGAGGGAAGTGGTGTGCCTAAGTGGTGCGCTCGGAGAGTCTGGGAGAAGTGAACTCTTGGGATGGCTTCTGAATATGAACAGGAAGGTATGGGTGTACACGTGTGAGTGTGTACATGAACACGTGTGCATGTATACTGGGAGCAGTTCATTCTTAAATAAATTTAAGTTCTTTTCTGGAGGGAATTACCCAGAGCTGATGTGGAGGGAGCTACTGAGTACAGAACACCTGCTATGTGCTTAACCCTTTCCCACCCAGAATCACTCAGACAGCTATGGTAGAGCTGGGGTTGAAGCCAGCCAATTCTCGCAGAGCCTCCTCAATCCCGCCCCACCCTCCACATGATATCTGGCCCCTTTGACTGAATGTGACTGCATAAACTCGTACTGGGAACCAAGAAGCAATTCCCGAAAGGCACAAGCTCCTGCAGCCTCCTCTGACAGCCTGGACCATCAGAACCCAGCAGTTTTAAGCAGTTCCCTCCCTGACAGTTTGATATGGGTATAGAAACCTGCCCGCACCCCCATTCAGTGTGTGTATGTGAATAGTCTCCAAAGGGAACTATCATCGTCCTCCATAGGAAAACAGCTTACCAGCTTCAGAGTTGAGTCTATAATCATATAGAGGCCAGCTGGTTTAACAAATCTTACTTCCCTCTATGTACTGGCAGCCAAGAAGCTTAGGGAAAAAAAGAGATGTGCATGTGGAAGGCAGCTCAGGGCAGCTGTTTTTAACACCAACTTTCCTCCTGGCTTCACTTCATTGTTTCCTTTTCCCTGATTTTCTCATTTATTTATTTTCCATGTTTATTTATTTACTTATTTGGAAGTTTCCTCCACAGAAATAGGGAACACATTCAAGGTATAGTTGAAAAGTACAGCAAATGTTTAGATTAAAAAATTATTGCAGTAGACACACTGCCATTAATCCCCTCAAAACATTCTGCTTCGGTTTGAAAACACTTACCCTATTATTCTTTATATTTTCTGAAGCAGTTCTGGAAGCCCTCTTTCTTGAATGTCTTTAGTTGCATTGCATGACCACCTCAATACCCTGACTTCATTTGCGTGTTTACCTTTTAGGGTCATTTTGGCTTTGGGGAAGAGCCAGGAGTCGCGCAGTGTCAGAGCTGGTGAATAAGTGGATGGGGATGCACTGCAATGTTTTTATTAGGCCACTTTTCCACTGGATGGCCCTTGGCAGCGGCATGCATTGCATTTCTGATCATAACTTATAAAGACACTTACAAAAGAGGGCTTCCAGAACTGCTTCATAAAATGGAAAAAAATGCGAGTAAATTTGTTCAGAGTTGAAGTGTTTTAAAAGGAACTAATCATATCATGTCTTTCACTATAATAATTTTTAAAAAACATTTTAATTTTGACTGTGGTTTTTGATCAGTCCTCCTAAGTCATTATGCCTCTTGCTTGCAGAGGACATGGGCCCAGCTCTTTCAGCTCCCTCTTTCTGGTAGAAGCCTAGAGGACTCGTGTCCCTCTGTGGCTAGAACTCTGTCCCCAAGGACAGGTCCCTGAATCAAGTCTTACGTGCACCAGCTGCTCTTGGGTGTCATACTCCTTGGTGCAGTCCTCCCAGTGACAGTTTGTCTCATAGATGACCACCTCAGCCTCTTGCTTACAGTCATCCCTTTCTAGGTCCTCCTTGAGGTCAGCCAGCTGCTCCTGGGGGAGAAAATCATGTAAGCCATGTCCAGGACCTGGCCCTGATGAAAAAGCACTGTTAGCTCCGTGCAGTCTGTTTCAAGATTCTGGGTTGGCCCACATGTGGCCTCTTATATCCATACAAGTACACATGCAGTGCATGTACTTGCACACATGTATACCTACACGTGCGCGCGCGCACACACACACACACACACACACACACACACACACACATACACGCTCATCAGCTTTTCTAGCCCCTATCCATCCACAGCTGGCCCATCACTCCTCTGTAACACTAGCTTGTAACAGAGCTGTCATATTCCAGGCTTCTCACACCCAGGAGAACAGGAGGAAAAAAGGCAGCAACTTATTGGCTTGGTTTGGTTTCTATGGTAGGGAGCTGGGGTGGGCCCCAAAGACCCTGGGAGTGGGAATATGTGTGTCTTTAAGATTTGCTCCTTGATGGGGGTGAGATAAAACATGATCCTGTTGCTTGGAATGGTTCCTTTCAGATCACCCACACCTCCCTGAAGCCTCAGGAAGCAGCCAGATTGACACGCATGACAGTGCTGAGATCTGCACCAAGTTCTGCAGTGTGAACGTGAACATACTACAGCAAATTCTTCCAGCACTAGTGATCCTGCAACAGCAATTTGTCCTGGGCATCTGAATTCTTGTATTATAGTTGGGGAACCTGAGGCTCGGGAAAAGGCCGACTCACTCTTTCCAGATCATAGAGCAGATGTGTGGCAGCCTAGTTCTGGATTTGAATCTCCTGACCACAGTGGGGCCACACAGCCATTTCAAGGATATGAAGGAAAAGCCACACATCTCAGGGATGTTCCAGTCCAGGGAGCACTCACTTGGAGCTGGCCAGGGCCAGCCTCTAAGTACAGGACCTGGGAAAGGCCAGAAGTATGAGCAGGAAGGTACAGACCATCGGCTGAGGAAAAGGCCATGTGGGGCTCACAAAAGTACTCAGGGACTCTGCAGCAGTCCTCTTGTCTGCCAGACAGGTTTGGAGCAGAGTCAGGCCTACAATGACTTAGTTTACAACTCAAGCCATTTTCAAAAGCAACAGGGAAACAATCTGTTTTTTCAAATAGCTTCTGGGGAAGACATGTATAGTGTAGGCTTGGAAGAATGACTGCTGCCCATAACATCCTGGGTCTGGGGACTTAGCCACGCTGAGTCCCTTCCTATAGAAGAGGCAGAAACTACTGTCAGGATACTCTGCTGTGGCCTGAAGACTGATATACCTGACTGATTTTCCATGAGGGCACAAACAGCTTTTCTAAGAGGGCTTCTGGTTCATTCCCTGGGTGCTGCCTTTCAAATAATGTACTTTCTCTGAGAAGGAAAACGAAGACATGTTGTACAGTGTCTCACTTACTGGGCTGAAGTAAGACCCTGCAGGCTGGGACATGAGGGGATATTTGGCTTCCAGAGCTTCAGCAGTGGAACCAGCTGGGGGTGCTGCTGAAGTGGAACAAAGAGATGAGAGGGTCCCCTAATACCTGCTCTGCACTTGAACAAAAATGGGAAGTAGATTTACGATTTCCATACACTACAGGCTCTGCTCGCTTCAGACAAGAGCAGATGCTGATGGACTGATGTGTAGGCAGTCAGGAGCTCTGTAGCAGGCACAGGCCCCTGGCCTAGCAGGGCATCCCCCTGGCCTGCAACAGTGACAGCTTCCACAGAAGCAGCACTGATAAAAGCCAGCCCATGCACTTGGTAATGAACCATTATGTGGAGTGATGAGAAGACCACCTCCTCACATACAAGGCTTTCTGTGTTGGGCAGGAAGGAGGTCTCTGTGGCCCCCCTCAGCTGCAGGGTGGTCACAGGGCCCCACTGGTGGCTGAGGTGTGGGCTCCTAGTGTTCAGTATCTGCCTCCTGCTCTGTTCTCGCCATTCCAGCTTGTTTATCTTCCCTGGATATGTGCTGTCCTCATCAATTCCAACAGCTCCAGTGATGGCCAGCCTCGCGGAAACCATGCATCATGCTGAGACTGGGTTTGGTGTCAGCAAGGGGAGGAGAATTTGTCACCAACCCCTCTGTTTGCTTGACAATAGCAGGATCTAATATTTCATGAAAATTAAGTGCCCAGAGCATGCCCGATGGTTTACAGTCTTGATAAAGGATGGTCTGGCAGATGCAAGGTGACAAGGACAGCAGATCCTAAGCATCCTTGATGGTCATGCTGGGGACTCAGTAGTAGCGAATGAAGACTGGGCCATCATGTGATGGCTGAGGGGAGGGTCAGTAAGTAGACCTACCTAGGAGGGCTGGGGGCACACTGTGCCCTTTACCCTGTAGGCTTCTATACTAAGAGCAGGGTCTGCCTTCTTGCTGGCTGGAAGCATTAGAAGTGGCAAGATTCTCAAAGGGACCTGCATAAGGCCTCTGGAGCTGTAGATTGCTCTGTTCCTCCATCTCCCTACAGGAATCATCCTCCCCTCCAGCTCTAAGTGACCCAGGAGCCAGGCTGAGCACAAGATTGAGTACAAAGAGAACCAGTGACAGTAGATGGTGAGAGACGGAATTCTAGGAGGGAAGGAAGCCTCAAGGAGCCTGAGACACCGAAAGAACATGAGCAACTCATTTGGCTGAGGTTTATGCTGCTCATGGCTGAGGTATGAGGGAAAGATATTTGCAGCCCGAGACAAGGCTCGAAAGGCTGAAGTCCATTCATTCATTTGTGGATTCATTCAAGACAAGTGTGATGAGCATGTAGTGTGTGAGGGTTCTGGGGACTGAGCAACAAGATATGTAAACTCACCCCACCCTCTTGGATTCATCCATCCATCCATGCATCCATCCATCCACCCCTCCACCCACCCATCCATTTTCATCAGCCCGTGAAATGCTCAAAAGTAGCAAACTGGAAGCTTGGCTTGAACTCAGCCCAAGAACAGTCACAGCAGCCAGCAGGTTTACCTGCGTCAGTCTCAGTGGGGAGGCTGGCCTCAGACCCTCAGCCTCAGTCTTGACCTTGCTGCGCTTATGAATGGTGATGGGGTTCACAGTGCTGGTCACAGCCGATTCACTGCTCTGCTTGTTCTAGGGGAGGGTGCAGAGGAGAGCTTGTCACACAGGTCAGGGCAAGGACGTCCCATATTTTTCATGGGACCTACCTCTAGAACCTCACCATGCTGACCACGCATGGCAAACTCCATGGTGAAGTCTCAGAAACTGAGTACCCCTAGCCCTGTTCTCTAGCTAGGATCACAGCTACCAACATCTTCCTCTGCAGCTTTCTTTCTGCTTCCATAAGGGGTGGCAGGAAATGGAAGGCAGTCATTCTCTTTGGAAAATGTGGGGTCTCCTTGCTCCTGTCTGAGGAGGATCCAGAGCAGGAGTGGCTAGCTCTGGGAGCAAGGGATGAGAGCCTGATCCCTTGGTGGGAAGGCCTGGGGCTGTAGTTTCAAGTGACACCTCAAAAGCTGGCAGTGACTGTCTGTGGTAGGGCTAGCAACCACTTGGAGCTCTGGGATGCAGGGCTTTCTGCAGGTGTCTTCTCTTCCCTCTAAAGATATGACCACATCCAGATTTGTCACAGGTGGCCAGGGACAGGCCCTTCCCCTCTGGATTAGCATCTTGAGTGGTCCCCAGGACCTGGAGTTCAGGAGGGGCTGTGTACACACAGAAGCTGGTTTATAAGCACAAGGACCCAATCCTAGATGGCAAGTTCCCCTTCCCTGGTGAGTTAGCTCAGGCTGAAAGAAGTAAAGATATTCTCTATTTTCAGGCAAGTTAGGAAGCAGTCTGACTGACTCCAAAGCCTGTGCCTACCCTTTATAATTGCTCCTATAAATTCAAGAACTCATCTGCAATGCAGGGCTTCATTTATTGCCAGACACTGGCGGCATCCAGTGCACACCAAGCACCACTTTGCTAGAAGGCCCAGCATGTCTATGGCCTGTGGAAAGGACTGAATAAAGTCTATGAAAGCCTGTAGCAGAATGCTTGTCCCAGTATAAACTATGTATTACTGTTGTTACTACTGTTCATTCATCTGTTTATTTCCTGTACTCTGCATGGAGTCCCAAGACAGGGCCCAATATGATATATTGCAGGGTTTCTTCACCCACTCATTATTTTTACTGGCAGGAGGAAGCTGGATTGTGGGCTCAGGGCCCCTATCCCAGCCTGAAGCCCTTTCTATCATGTGGTCTCTACCCAGCAGATATCCCCCAGCCTTGCTAGAGCCCAGAGCTCAACACCAGTTCCTGTGTGGGATGGCAGGAACAGCCTGTGTGGGGGTAAGATTAGCTCCCAGTGGGCCAGCTCCTGTGCCCTGCACCCACATACCTGGTTGGTGTCGCTTAGACAGTTACTGCTGCTGCTGCTGAGTTGAGTGGGTGCGCTGCTGATGGAGGTGAGGGCCATGGGCTGCTGGGCCAGAAAGGTAGGTGAGGGCTGAATCAGGGGTGGTGTGTGTCCGAAGGCTGAGCCCAGGCCCCGCTGCTGGCTCAGGATTTGCTGGTAGGCCACAGGGTTGATAGGATGGGGGAAGGTGAAGGCTGGGCTGCAACAGAAAAGGAGTGGGCAGTGCTTCTGCTGGGCAGATGCTTCCTGGGAAGAGAGGAGCCTGCTCAAAGGATCGAGATGGCTTTGGCAATGGTCATGCTAACTGCACCACCACTGTGGCTTTCCCTCTTTCTAGAGCAAGTGTAATTGAATCTGAATACTGAGGTTTTAGTTTAGAAAAACAACTCTATATTAACACCTTTTGTCCTAAAAGAAAGATAAGACAACACACATGCTGTTGGTTTACCACCACTGTCCTAGACCTGCCGGGGACAGCCTTGACCCCTGGCAGGCTGCAGGCTTAGCAGGTGCCAGGCTCCATCACATCCTCACAGCCTGGCCTCCCACTGCTCTGGCACCTGAGATGCATCACTGCGTCACTGCTCTGTCATTTGGACCTTACTTGGCCTCCAGAACCTGTTCTCATGCCTCCTCATCTGCACCCTGGCAGGTAAGGCTCACCTGAGGGCACCTGCTGACAGGTGCCCATAGGAGCCACTGGCTGCTGAGCTGCTGCGTGAGTTGTTGATGTAGGCCACCAGTGAGTTGGGTGAGGTCCGAATCATCCGCTGCAGGTCAAGGCTGGCATCTGACAGTGGTGAGATGGATAGCGCCCGCTTGCGGCTCAGGCGGGGGGTCACCCGGGGGCTGGAGAATCGGGACACTGCACAACAGCCAACAAAAGGCGCATCAGCATCACCTGTATTGGGGGAAGGGTGATGGTATTGGGAGAGGAAAAGGGGACAGGTGGGTGGGCACAGGAAGAGCCTATGAAGACAGTCTAGTGGGAGGATAGTCTAATAATGGAAGCATAGCTGTAGCGTAGTTGGGCAAAGGATGAACACTCTCCTGGACTCAGTTTATTCATACCCTGATCAGCACAGGGTATGGTGAGGATCTGAGATGGACAAAGTGAATCTACCTGGGAAGCCAGCCTTACCTCAAGAAACAAGGTATTGCCTGTGTCCTCAAACACCATTCTCCATTCCAGTTTTTCCCCAAGGGAAGCAATCACTATAGTGTCAACATGGAAGGTCATTCAAATGCACATGTGTTAGAGGCTTGGGCCCTAGCTGAGCATTTGGGGAGGTGGTAGAAACTTTAAGAGGTGTACTTACTTAGGAGTAAGTTAGGTCAATGGGGGTATGGTCTCAGAAAGGACCTGAGGTAAGCAGTTCTGCTCCCACCAAATGCTGCTATCATGGTGGGGGGCCTCATTACAGGCTCAAAAGCAACAGGCCAGTAGGCCATGGACTAAAATCTCCAAAATGGAGCCAAAATAAACCTTTCATCAGAAGGTGATTTTATTAGGTATTTGTTATGGTGACAAGAAAGGTATCATAGTCATTACTCCAGCTTTTTGTACCCAGCTTAATGTTGTCTATTTTTGACTTTATGTGAATGAAATACAGTTCTTCTTCCTGTGCGGATTCCTTCCTGTTGTGTGTGGCAGTAACTCACTTGCTCTTACTGCTGCAGAGAATTCTATAGGGAAAAAGCAAACGGTAAGTGTGAAGTGTTCGGGCCTGGGATTTAGCTCAGTGGCCTAAGTGCCTGCCTAGCAAGGCAAAGTTGTGAGTTTGATCCTGGTACCAAAAAAAAAAAAGAAAGTGTGAAGTGTTCCAAAGTCAAGGATCACGTTGCAGTTAGGGTCACACCAAAGTCTCCCTCACACCTAGACAGAGCATTTGCCAGGCAGAGAGACCTGGATGGCTGCCCTCACACTCTTAGCATGACCCCATGGGGGACTAGAAAAGCTGGAGGCAGTGAGGTCACAGGGAGGGACAGCAGAAGGGGCAGCTGATAAAGTGTAGCTGTGCTCATACATCGAAACCCTCAGGTCTGAAGTAGCCTAGGGCTTGGGGACTCTGTTGCTCTGAGTATGCACACCATATTCCTATGCACACTTACATACATTTGTGCAGCTACACACACCACCCATGCATGTACACCACACACAGACATGTGTATACACACACATTTCTGCCCTAGCTGGAATTAGGGTACAGGGATGCAGACCTGGGTTGGATGAGAGGCCAGTAGGGGTAAGATGGGGGCAGAGTACAGCTAGGGCAATTGGACTGGATCCACAAGTCAGCTGTTGAAAATGGAGAAACTTTATTAATCATGTAAGCATAAAAATTGGGTCACCTGCCAGCTCTAGGGTTGTAGCCCAATGGGGTGACAGATGTGTGAGTGGTGTATTCCAGAAAGGCAGTTTTAGCTGTCCAAGGACCACACCCTCTACTTTGCCAGGCAGGCGCTTGAGCCACTGAGCTACCCGGCCCTTGTACATATCCTTTCCAACCAGAGACATTAAATGATTTGGAGAAAGCTCCCACTGGAAGAAAAAGTTAAGCTAATCAGAATCCACTTTTTACCACCAATACTTTCTTAGCTACAATTTTGGTGAATGAAGGCTTATTCTGTAGGGCTCTGAGAAGCAGGGCTTGCAGGTCTCCAGCAGGCCAGGTGGTGGAGGTGCTATGGTTTGGCTATGTCTTCCAGCCACTTATATATTGGAAGCTTCATCCCCTAATTCATAAGTTGATTGCATTTAGAGGTGGGATCTTAGAGAGGTAATTAGGGCAAGGTAAGGTCATGAAGGTGGGGTTAGTGGCTTTGTAAGAAGAGGAGAGACTCCAAATGGCACAACTGTTCTGTCATTATGCCTCATTATGATGAGGGAGGAAGTGCCTACTGAGAACCACCATATTCTTGAACTTTCCAGTTGCCAGAACTGTGAGCTAAATAAACCTTGATTCTCTGAGTTTTGTTATAACAATACATTATGACCTAAGACAGGAGGACACACAGAAGGTGCTCCATAGATGCTTCTGGGGACTCTGCATTGTTTTGCTCCCCAGCGAACCCAAGTACATGGTAGGTGACTTATTCAGTAACCACTCCTTTCTGTTGTTGCAGAAAGGACCCCAGCCTCCATGCCTGAGGATACGGGGATGCACATCCAGCCAACCAGGCAGACCCTTTCCCTGAGCCTGTGGTCTGAACAAGGGTACCACGTAGCAAGCAGACTCCTGAGCCAGCATGTGTCCCTTGCATGAGGCATTTAGTTAAGTCCTGTGATTAGCAACACACTGACAGCCACAGTTTGGAGACACACAGGCTTGCGGTCTCATTTTGAGCTCTCACCTTCTGATATTAGCTTTACAGACAAAGAAACTAGGTATGGGAGGGAAGCGACTTGTTCTGAACCAAGATCCAAAGGAACCCTGCTATGTTGATCTTCTGGGAAACTCAGTGTCCATTCTATCTTCAGATGGGTGAGAGACACCCAGATCCAGAAGGATGCTCCCTCCCCGAAACAGATGTTGACACCTGTTTGGAACTGCTGAGGAACTAGCAGCCAGGCAAGCCTGGCTCTGAATGGTGGTGGCTCCAAATCAGCATGTCTCCTCCACTCTCCACTACTGCTCTGGGCCCAGCCAGCACCAATGCCGCAGCAGAGGAGGAGCCCTGGTGTCAGCCAAGGCCTTCTCTCTCCCCTTGCTACAGCTGAGCCTGCTGAGGTGGGTTCCTAATTCCTCCCCCAAAGCCCTCTCCGCTCAAATCCATTTCCTGGCCCAGCCAACTACTTTCTTAGATCATTCCAGGACCCCTTAACTAATGGCTGTCAGATCCACATTCTTTACTTCGGAAAGCTTTCCAACTTGTACATCAGAATATGTCTCTGCCCCTTCCCCAAACTGTCCAAAGCTCCCCACTGCAATTATGACAAACACATATTACTACTGCAAAAAGGCCTACTTAGCAGCCCTGGAAGGATGGGGGCTGTATCATGTCTCACATAGGGTTTTTGTATATACAACTTCCTTCGTCTGCTAGCTCTTCCTTCTTTGGTGCTCAAACCTCAGCAAAGTGGTCACCTTCTGCAGGATGTCTTCCCCAGACTTCTGAATTGGGCAGGTCTTTCTATCCCTGAAACTCAAATATGACACTCACCTGCAGTGAGCCCAAGAGAACAAGCCATGCCCTGAGCAAGAGGTACAGCCATGCCATGCTGGAGAGCAAAGTCACACCACCAGAGTCAGCTCCTGCTGCAGGACCACACCCAAAGCACAGAGCCAGGGCAGGTGGAGCCTGGGGTCAGGAGGCAGGTACTTGGATGCCAGAACATTACCTCCGTGCTATACCCTGGGTGGGAGAGAGGCTCTCAAGGGAGAGAAGACTATGAGGTGAAAGCAGAGACAGACAGACAGATGCATGCATGGCACAAAGGCGCACAAGGACCCTCGTACCAACCACCATTCAGCCTGTCATGTAAGGTTTCCTTGGAGCACAGTACTTAGCACCCTGAGCTCTTCTTTCCCCATCTCTGATGGGGGCAGTGTGGTGTTTTTTGCACAGTTGTTGGGAGAGACACACCCAGAGTGCTGAGCATCATGCTAGCAGCCCTGCAGACTGTCCCAGCTGACACAGGAGTTGAGAGGATGATGCGATGACAAGGTGGGTTTCTGGTTAATAAGTGCCAGAAAGTCTAGGAAAGATGACAAGGCCACACAGAGATACAGCTGTCACTACATCCATTCACTGGCTTCCACCTGAGCGCCCACCCTCTAAGCTTCTGGGTTCTCAGTTTCTGACTTCGTCCCTTGTCAGTCCCTACTTCAAAGTCGGGTGCAAAAGTCTTTGGATCTTCCCGAAGACTTCTGTTCCTCACAAACAGAGTAGCAAATGGGGAAATAAAAGAAGGACACAGAAAAGCTAACATCTTTAAAGAAGAAACACACTCGTACATTTTTTTTGTCTGTACATTTTTTTTTTTTTAAAAAGACTTTACTACTAATCCTTGGATTCCCACTCTCCCGGCACCTCTAACAAGAGGAAACAGGCCAAATCTGACAGTGATATTCATCTCTGTTATTCCCACACCTCGAGGGAAATATGTTTATTAATGTGCCTCTTCCCTTGATAAATTACTAAATAGGAAGAAAAGCCTGGCACTCGTTTCCTGTGGCTTCGCCTGTGATTTATAGCTGGGGACTGGCGGAGCCACGACATCCATTCATCTGTAGATGTACCTGTTCTAACACTGGGCAGCCACTGGGTGACCAGCCATCTGCCTGTCCTCCCCTTAGCAGATATCTGACACTGCCTGATCCTGTTGCCACCTGACTCTGACCCTGTCTCACCCAGCGGTTCATTTCTGTTTGTTTGGCATACTTTCCAGGGTACTGCAGGCACTCATAGGCTGTGATCACGGAGAGCCCTGAGCTCTGCCCTCACAGAGCTCCCTCTCTGGGTGAGATGAAAATGGTAACTTCAGTGCCAGGCAGGACCCACAGAGTGCTACCTAGTCAGGAACTCCCTTGGGAGCTCCAGCATGCTCAGGAGGGAGGACTCGGGCAGACCAGGCTTTCACCCTCTGGACCCCTCTGCACCAGGGTCGCTTTGGGCAAGCTTCTGGCTCCAAGCAGGATCCTCAGACAGAAGATGAGCTATTCACACTCATCTCAAGACCCTGTGCGCTGGTGGCCTTTGTCTCAAGCATTGTGTAGGGTAGGTTTCCCTGGAGTCAGAGCTGGGGACTCCCACTCCTCCAGGATCTGTGGAGCCAGGACCCTGGGTTGAGGGACACCAGGAGGGAGCTTTGCCCTGGGGCAAGGACCTGGAGCCTTCCCCACATCCATAGCCATCCTCAGCATAGGGCCGGGGTGCCCTGGATGCTTGCAGTGCTTCCAAGTGGCAGGGAGATCTGTCACCTATAGGTCTCTTCTGAGGACTGCTCTGGAAGCCCACATTCAGCTGTTCACAGCTCTTCCCTTGTGTCCTGCTTTTGAGAAGCTAAAAGAATCTGAGACATGAAGCCAGGAGGCTTAGGTTGAGGCTGTAGCTCCATGTGTGAGTTCAGTGATGAAAACAGGGCCAGTGTCTGGGCCAAGTTTCCCCGGAGAATGGGTTTCATAGTGCTAGCCTGGAAGGACGGCTTACAAGGTTTACCAGATGATGCATGAATGCCATTCTGCTCGGACCAATCTCCAGGAGACTGCTCTCTAGCACTTGTAGGCCTGGGTTCTACCTCAGTCTCCCCTCCTGCCAAGACTGGGGCTGGACTCCCTGCCTGACTTGAGTCTCTGGCAGCCCCTGCACCAACTCATCCTGCCTCTCTGTAGAATGATCAATGTAATTGGTTTCTGAGTCCCCCCTCCCCCCAGATCCACAGGCAGCATAAAGAACTGGTGTCACAATGGAGGTGACATCTGAGTCAAATTAGTGTCAATATGACAATAAAATATACAGCTTGGAGGAAATATGGGCTGTATACAGACAGCATTTCAATAGGAAACATTTCCATCTTCCCAGCATGGTGGGGGTGGGAGGGGAGGATGCGGCTGCTGCAGTACTGTGGTTAAATCACCAATATTCAATGCCTAATGCGAGAAGATGCCATTTTAGAGCCTGGGTGATAACTAATGAATTCTCTGCTCTCCATAGCAGAATACTCTTGGATCCTGACGGATTCTCTGTCTCCTCCCCACATGGCATTACTTTCTGGCCTTCATTCCCTAAGTCAGGTTCTAAACAACATGAGAACAAAGGCCTTTCTGACCACCAGGGGCTGGATAGGGCGGGCTCACTTGGGAGCCAGAATCGCCTGATCCTGCCACAACTTGGTAACAGCCACGGTCACACGTGTGTCAACTGGAGACAAGGTGTGGCAGGCCAAGCCCCACCCCATGTTCCTCTGCACCTGCCCAGGTGGTTTCACTGCCTGGCCAGTCCTGTCACTGTGCCTATTGCCCATTGATTGACCACACGCATGTGGTGAGGCTGCCAGAGAAGACCTACTCTTCTCCGCTTCCCATGAGCTCTCAAGGGCCCTTGTATCTGCATAGAAGCCACACATTAAGGCCATATGTCTGCGGATGACTTGCTAGTATGAATGTGTATGTTCTCAGAGACCCTGAACCTTCCTTCAGGGCAGTTCTGGAGCCAGACAGTGAGTGCCTTGCAATGGCTGGCTCCTTGCCTCTTGGAGAATGCTGAGCAAAAAGGAATGTGGTGGGCAGATCCGCTCCATGTCTACTGTAGGGTCTGTAATTCCCAGAGGGACTCCACGGACCCACATAGCTGGGTCTGCTGAAAACACAGAAGCAGCAGGCCCAACTCAGCTCCCCTGGCTCAGGGGTGGACTTGGCTGGGGGAGGGCACAGAGGCAGGTCTTGCTCTGCTGGGTCAGACATGCCTCCGAGTGGCACATCTGTACAGACTGGAAGTGCCTACAATATTTTAAAAAGTGGGGGCAAAGGTCTGCCTTAAACTTGTTTGAAATGGGTTGAAGTAAAGCCCACTGGTATGGCCCATGTCCCTAGCTTCAACCTCTAGAACCAAAAAAAAAAGAAGAAGAAGAAGAAGAGAGAGGAAAAAAATATGTTTCTGAAACAAAGTGCACACAGTGCACTAAATAGTGACAAATGGAAATGATCAGAGATGCTCTGATCTTGGGTTATAATAGACTGGGAAACATAAAACCACTTGTTTTTGAAACTGTAGTTAAGGAAAAATCCCCACCCTTACCTCATGACTGAGTGAGCAACTGAGATCCTTGTTCAGGCCAACTCTGGAGTCCGGTGATGCTCAAGAGGGAAGTGGGGAGAGACAGAGTGCGAGTGTGAGGAGTCCAGCAGCTACTGATGTCAGCGGGGAGTTCTCCTGCCCACTCGAGCTCGTCTCCTTGCTTGTCCCCATAGCCTTGGCCTTCCGGTTGCTCGGAGATGCTCAGCCCCCCAGGTGCTGCCTAGTGCCGAGTGCCCTGGAGAACAAAGCTGCTCCCCAGCCCTTTTCCAGGCTGTCTGCCAGCCGGCAGCTGCCCTTCCACCAGAGCCATTTCTGCACTAATTACTGTGCATCTTTCTATTACAGTTTCTTTGTAACTGCCACTCACTCCCTCACCCTACACAGGCAGGGCCTGCCCCTGCCAGACGTGCCCCACCTCTGGGCCTTGCTACTCATTACTCAGAAGGAGAAGCACCAGCTGGTGATGACCCAGGAGCCTTGGATTCCACTGGGTAGCCTCAGAGCCCTGGGAACTCCATTCAGGTGGTGACCTGGAAGAGGTTTTAGGCCACCATATGGTTTCGGTGTGGCAACCCAGTGGGTACTGGCACCTCAGGGTGGCGAGGTGTTTGGGGACCTCCAGTTCCCCATGGAAGGCAGCAGTGAGGCAGAGAGGGCCTAAGCTCAGAGTGCCAAGATGAAAGGTGGCTGGCCAGGAAAAGGTGACAAGCCACACTTGGCCAGCCTGAAAGGCAGTATAGATGAGGAGCTGGCAAGGGTAAGGTAGCCAAGGAGGGCCTCTGGTTGGGCTTACACAGCACATAGTCAGAGTTGCAGACAACAGAGACACAGAACTCTACAAGAGAAAAAGGGCATTGCTTTGAAAGGAGGAAGAGGATACTTGAAAAAAAGAGACCAAAACCAGCATTAACTGAGCACCCTACCATATAAGCCACACACTGGGTCACATGCAATGTGTTAAATCACCTCAGTGTTACAACCCTTCTCCTGTTTGGGGGAAACAGGAGACACCTGAGGAGGCACAAGGGCTACACCACAGATTCCTGTCAGTCTCAGGCAGGACAGGGAAAGGAACAGGAGGGAGCCAGCCCCTGTGGCTGGGGTCTAGGGTTAGGGAAGGAAGCAGCATCAGCAGAGACGTCCAGAGGAGACAAGACCTCAGCCCTGCTTGAGGGAAGTGAGGTAGAAGGGCAGGAAGCCTGTGAGCAGAGCAGAGCGGAGCAGCTCCCTCCCCCAGCCCTACAGACCCACTGCCCACCAGCACTGCCCAACTGCTGCAGTCTGCACAGGCCAGAGGGCCCAGCACTGCCCCATAGGAGGGATGCCCCATGCAGGCCTCTGCTTCCTCCTGCTATGGCCACTGTGAGTGGAAAGGCTGCCCAACCAGGGCTTGAGGAGATGCACACCTGCAGGCCCACCTGGGTGGATGCACATCCAGGCGCCTCTAGCAGGACCTAGAGCAGCATCAACGGGAAGGGCTGTCATGTATGTACCATTTGGTGGGAGACAAAGAATCCCAAGCACCCAAAGCCTCATCTATCCAGGACACCTACCTCCCCCTGCCAAATAGGTACTGCTCACAGCTGAGTCTCAGTTGACAGCTGTGTCCTCCAACCGCTTGGACCCAAGACCCTGATGTCAACCTTGCCACTCTTTTTTCCCTTCAAGTGCCCATCTGATCTGAGAGCAGTCTTGTGCCACCACCTTCACAGTCTCCTGAAACACCGCCAACTGTCAGATCTGCTAGCCAGGCCCCTCTTCCTTCTTTGCCCCCAAAAGAGTTCCAAGATTAGCAGGAAAAGATTGCTTTCATTGCAGTGTGCACCCAGACTTCTGCATGGCTCGCCTTTTCTAATCATGAACTGCAAGATCATCTTCCTAGTGAGGGTTTCTTTTACTTCCTTTTTCCAAATTGCAGTCCCAGTCCTGCCCGGTGCTCTGCCTCCTGCCCACTCCTTTGTTCCCTATTCCATGCATAACTGGCCAATCCATTGCATCATTCCTAGTGCTGTGTGGTATCTGTTTCCTGCCATTATACTGCAACTTTCACAAAATCAGAGATGAGCGAGTTTGTTCACGGTGAGGCATACAATGCTTAGTATCCTTCCTGGTTCATACAACTCAGAAAGTGCTGTTGGGACACCTTGGGTCTCTGTGGATGACAGTGTGGTGGGCACCTGGGCAAAGGCCTATGTCTCTCTCCACCGAGGAAACAGTGATTGCTCTTTGTCACTTCAAGGGGACACCCATCAGCTCCCCTTCCTTGCTGCCCCAGGGTCTGGACCCCGACTCTACAGTTTCACCCCAGCACTTACCATCCACCTGGTTGAGGTAGTCGTGGAGATGGGGTGTGCCAGCAGCACCCCCACTCTGCACCAGCAGGTCCCCATAGGGTGTGGGGTGGCCGGCCATGAGTGTCATCTGGTGGTAATAGTCTGAGGGGTTGGTGCCTGGGGCAGCGAGGCCAAATAGGCCTCTTTCCTTCAGGTGCTCGTGGGCCACTGTGGAACAGGGGAGAGAAAGAAGCCATCAGAACTTGGCACCAGCTGCATTCTTCCTGACCGAGGAGAGAAAAGAGAAACACACGGCTGCCCGAGGGGTCCCTCCTGCCTACTACTATGTGCCACTGTCAGCTGTGAGCTGGACCCCATCTTGGCCAGCAAGGGGGGCTGCTGCTGCTGCTGCAGAGAGAGGCCAGGTCCAGCCTTGGCCTGCCTCCACCACCTACCTCTTCCCCACGAGAGCCCCAGGGCCCAGAACCTTTTATGGGGAGAAGATAATGGTGAAAGGAGGGCCATGGCTGCCCCATGGGACAGGTGAGCCCTACCAGAACATTCAGGGGAGGCCAAGAATCCCTGGGCTTTGGCCAACATTGGCAGCTTTTGTGTCCTGGCAGACAACCTGGGGTGGACGAGAGGGTTTGGTGTCTCTGAGGGGCCTGGCCTCAGTACTGCTGTACAGAAAATGACTGAGAGCTTGGGCACCAAACACATCCATGGAGAGTCCTGGCTTTTATTAGGTGTGCAAAGCTGGAAGGTGCCAACTCAGTTTTCCATCCATAAAATGGGAGTAAGAATGCCTCTTCTGAAAATTACCATCAAATCCCAACTGTGTGACTCAGCGTGTGGTAAGCGCTCACTTGCTGGGAGTGCAGCTGGTCGTTGTGAGGGGGACTCACATGAGTTCCCCGATCTCACTGCCACTGCAGCACCTGGAGCTGAGATCTGCCCTTGCTCACTGCTGTCCAGTGTGTGTGTGCATATCTGTGCCCACGTGTTTGCATGTGTGGGTCGGGGAATAGAGGGTGAGAACGGAAGTATTTTATATCCGAAGAGCTTATTTATATTGTGTGATCCTGCCCTGTCCTGGCTCTGGGGTAGCTGGCTGACTTCTGAGCTGAGCCAACCAGTGCTGTCCCTCAAGCACCTGAACCTAGAGACCCAAGCTACAAGTTCATGCCTGAAGTGTTAGAGGCTGGGCTGTCATTGCGAAGTCAACTGTGCTGATCTCCAAGGTGCCCAGAAAGCAGAACGACAAAGGGCTGCCAGCCAGCGTTGCCTTCCTCCTGCTCCAGGGCCCTGTGAGACACCCCCTATACAACACCCCTGCCCTTAGCATCAGCTCCTGCAGACAGCCAGTAATTCTCACTTATGAGAGGACCCACTGAACAGACCTTCTCCCTTCTCGTAAAGCATACAGAGGTGCTCTATAATAAGCACACCCCAAGGAACCCCCAAGTCTCTCAGCTGTCACCATTCCTCTACTGGAAAATCTGTGTTTAGAAGCAGTGAGAAGGAAAACCAGCCTCTCACAAGCCCAGAGGACAGAGGCTGGGGTGAGCCTGACGCCTTTTCAGCTTCCCCTCCCGGCCGCAGGGGCCTTCTCACCATCAGTGGGGCTGAGGCCCCTGGCTGCTGAGATCATGGAGAGCGTGGGGCTGCCGTGCACAGACCGGAGGTAGTGCTCCATGTGGGGGTTCACGTAGGGGTGGGGGGCATTGAACGGGGACTCCCCAGGGCCAGCAGGGTGCGGGGAAAGCCGAATCAGGGAGATATCCGAGATGACGGGGCTGCCGCTCAGAGTGGCAGGCCTGTGGGGATAAAGAGCAGTCGTCAGAAAGGGGATGTGCAGGGCCTCCAAGAACTCAAGAACCCCAAACCAACATGAGCAGCCCTTGATCCTCTTGAAGACTTGCCACAGGATCCTTTATTTTATACACCAAGCCCTGTCTTAAATGCCCACTAGCAGGGATGTGCAGGGTTTATTTCCCATGGTCTGGGCTAGCCGCCGCCAATTTCTACGCCCCTTGGTCAGCCCTTCAGGAGGCACTGGCTTCACTCAACGTGATGATGGGGCTTTCTGCCACCTGCAGTTGGCGCAGAGCCTCCAAGCACCCTACCGGGTGTTTCAGGGTCATCTACTCCCAAAGGTATCCCCTTAAGACAAATCAGACTTTACTAAGTTATCGGGAGCCCACATATACCAAGATCTCACCTTTAGCTTTTCAGAAAATATAGAGTCTGCACGGTTTGACACAGTGCTAAGGATATCATGGGGATGTCCCTAGGCTCTTTGCAGGGTCCCAGCACCCAAGGTTATGGCAGCCCCCTCTTCCACCTCTGAAGCCCTGGCTATGTGCCCATTGGGCCTGGCAAACAGCTCCTATGCTATCAGCAATGCCCGGACAGGTTCACAATACTGTGCTGTGCAGCCAAGAGGAGCCAAGCAAGGCTCTACTGCAGTTGCCTTATTCCCAGGATGGTGTCCCTCATCTAGGGCTGTGCTGCAGCATCAGGAACTTTCACCTGGATGTGCTGCTCAGAGGGGAAGCCCCAAGGGGATCGCAGCAGGAGCATAGGAGATCTGGATTTGGGAAGCTGATCTGCAGGACCTGGACTCTGAACGTGGGGAGGCAGAGCCCTGCATCCAGGCCTTTTAGAAAGCTTTGGTCGTCTTGCTAGGGCTAGTCTTTCCCACTTAGCTGAGTGGCCTCAGCCAGGCTGCCAACCTTCTCTGGTGCCTCACCAGTGTGACATAAGAGACTGGTGCACATGCTACTTTCCTTTCCTGACACAAGTCAACTTGGAACATGGAGCACCAGTTGACCTGGGGACTCAGGGGACCCAGTACACAGAGAGCAGGTTCATCAGTCAAGGCAACCAAGAATGACTCTTAGATACCTCCAGGAGGTTTTCCTAGATGTCCCCTCTACATAAGGCCACTTAAATTACAGCTATATCCTGACTTTGCATCTCAACACAGGGCAAATGACATGTCAGTCATCAGAGGGCCACAGGCATGTATTTACTCTTTCGATGAAAAAAAAAATTGCCAAAGTATGTACTTTCTGCCCATTTTTACAGATGACAACATACCAGGAAAGGCAAAGGCCCTTGGTCAGGATCACTCGGCCCACAGGTGGAGGAGCCACACCCAGGTGAGTAGGGGTTTGAGCCCGAGCCCTCAGTAGGGAAGTGGGCACTCTTGAAGGCTCTAGTTCCTTGAGCACCAAGCCTGGGCTGGGGGGGGGGGCAGGATGGGGCTGAGAGCCATACCCCAGAGCTGTTTCAGATCCTTCTGACTCCATCCCCATCCATGGCCACACAGTGCCCCCTTCAGGAGAGCTGGGGACCTCTCCCTCACAGCGTGTGACTGATAGGGATCCAGGGACACACATGTTCCAAAACACTGTCACTTTGCCAACCAAACAAAGCCAAAGGAGTATGTCTCAAATGGCAAAATTCCAGGGCTTATGACTGCACTGGGGGAACTGGGTGCTTCCGGCAGCCCTGACCTCACGCCGACCGTAAAGAAGGTCCTTTGGGGCCTCCCAGGACCAGAGCTGGCTTTCTTTACTGTTTGGCTCCACTCTGGGACTCAAATTAGAAGACTGGGGCATGCTGGGTGCTAGAGGGCTGAGAGTTGTCTCTGAACTGAGGGGCCTCATCAGCAGAGGTGTCAACTAGTGACATCTGCGCCCTGCTCTAAGCAGCAGCCTCCTTCCTCCTCCTATTTCCAAGGTGCAGTCGCAGGGCCCACCTGGTCTGAACCACAGCATTCAGTCCTTCATTCCGGTAGCCAGAAGAGACTCAAAGAGGCAGCCTTGAGGATGGGAGGAGGAGCAGCTGCCTAAGCACAATGTAAAAGGTGAGAAGTGTCACAGTCACACTGCACCAGGTGACACAGCGGCCTCTGTGAGCCGCTCTTAGGCACTGCTCTGAGATCCTCTGCACCTGACCTTACCAGTGGATCCAGCTTACTTTCATCTGCTCTCCCAGGGATGTCACCCTGAGGTCAGATTCCCCGTGAAGAGGCAGACTGTGAGCCAGGTAAGCACAGGGCAGGGTGTTAGAGGCTCCAGCACATGACTACTTCCCTGACTGTCCCTGATCCACAGTTCTCCTCGTTTGCAGGCTGATGTTGTGAGATGAGATGAGCCACATATGGAAAGCATGCAGCGGAGCACCAGGTTCTTGGTAGGCAGAGGAAGGTTTCCTAAAGAAGGTGAGTTCTTGTTGGGTCTTGGATAAGAGTTTGTGAAGAAATACATTATAAATGAAGGAAGGCAGCATGTGTGAAGAAAGGCTGGAACACAAAGCTGTGTGTGTGAAGGTTATGGCTCAGACATTTAGGCAAAGTTTACAAAGCACCTTGGGCTGGATCTAGGGACCCACTTCCTTTCCTCTGCTCTGAGCAGGACATGTGACGCAAGCCCAGGTGGGCAGAGCACTCCCTATTCCCAGGTACCCTGACTGGTTTAGCAAGGGACACGTGCCCAAGGCAGCCACCCTGGCTGGAATCAGAAAGCTGGTGCCCTGACTTTTCCAGTTGAGAGCCAAGGTGTGTGTGTGTATGCATGTGTGCGTGTGCATGCGCATGTGTGGTGTGAACCACTTCAAACTGAGTTTTCCCATATTAGGCACCTCCCAGGGCTTGTGGAGGCAGCCCTTGCCCACAACAGCTTTCCCTTGCACAGAGACCCCATGTGGCACCCTGCAAGCCAGACATGAGCCCCACCTCATTGGGCCTGTCCAACCTCGGCCTGCAGACTGGGGCCAAATGTTAGTGTTGGCTCAGGGGAAGCAAAGGTGAAAAGGAGAAAGGGGGACAAGACAAAGGGAAGAGAGGTCCCTGGAGACTACCTCAGGAAAGCTGCCAGTTCTGACCAAGCTGTCAACACACGCTGAGTCTCCATGTGCAAGGTGTCTGATGTACCTACAAGGCTGGTCATATTATCCCATTTTAAACATAAGAAAACTGAGGCTCTAAGAAGCCACGTCTTGCCTAAGGTTGCAGAGCTGGGACAGGAGCCTGTGTCTCTGCCTTTGTGAAGTCAGATTGGGCAGAGATATCACTAATGATCCCTGGTGTGCAGGCTACTGCTCATCCTTTCTTGCTGAATCTGCCCCTGACAGTGGTCTTTTGGAGTCCTCACTCAGCTGGGTCCCAGGCTGATCTGGGAGGCTAGAGGCTGAGGGGGCATCAAGCACATGGTAGGCAGAACCCTACACTTCGCAGTCAGACAGAAGAGGGGCTCTGTGGTAGCTCTGCTACTTTCATGGCCTCGGTGCCACCTGCCCCCAAGTCCCAGGGTTCCTTGCCTATAGGCCAGGACAGCCATAAGATGGATGAGCCAAGCAGGGAATGTTTGCAGGGCAACTAGAACCAGGCACTTAGTGGGTGCCTGACCAGTGCTTCCCTCTGTCATATTTAAGAGCTGTGCAAGAGGGAGTGGCAGAGTGAAGTAGACCCTGCCTGGTCTCCCAACATCACTACCAGCCCCTGCTCCACATGCTGGCATGGGATTTTTGGCAGGAGACAAAAGGAGAGGCCATAGGGATGAGAACCCTCATGGCCACATGCAACTCGGCACTAACTAGCTGGGTCTGAGCAAGCATGCCCAGCATCTCAGAGATGGCCCACCCCTGGGAGCTAGAACCATGGTGTTGGGTCCCTTAGAAGGCCTCTGGCTGCTGTAGGGCTGAGTCAGACTTCGATGAACAGGGAGGAGAAGAGGAGCATCTGACCTATCGTGAAGCATGGCACAGCTAAGCCAGGGAACGGGGCAGGAGTCAACATGTTCTTTAGTGCAGTGTTGTTGTGGGGAGGGGGTGAGGGATTGGGCCCTGTGCCCCACCCAGGGTGCCTGTATGGGGAAGCTGAACTATTTGAAGCTGAGGGTGCTGACTCACATAGACCTGAATGAGCCACACAGGGTAGGATCTTCCACTTGGGGCATGGGAACCAGAAGGAGGGGCCCTGTCTTAGCCACTGAGAGATTCCTTTGTTCAGAGTGCCCCTGTACAGGTCAGCAAGGCCAGAGATAGGAAGGAGCCTCCAAAGTGACCAAGGCATATCCATGGTGAGGCAGCGGCAGCAGTGGCTGGCACAATGGAAACTGGGTGCTCCGGATTAGTCTAGGAGCCTGCTGATGACAAAGGGAAGCTCCAGGCACTTAGGGCTTATGGATCTTACCTCAGGCCTGGCTCTGGGGATGACACGGCCACAATGGCAGGTGGAGAGAGACAACAGTCCCACATGTCCAGCTCCTGTGTGCCCCCTCTCTAGTCCTGGACACTTGCTGGGCTCATTCATCACAGTTTGGCTTCTGAATAATTGAACCTCCAGTGATGTTCTTCTCAGCTGTATCCCTTTACCTCTGTTCTCCTCAGTGGACTCCTGGCCAAGAAGCCTACTGGCCTCAGGTCAAGATCAGGCATCTCCTGAGATACTCCTGGAAAAGGCCCTGCACTTATGCCTCAGCAAGATGTTCTCAGAGATGAGCTCACAGGCAGTGATGGGTTCACATGGGGCCTGTCTTCCCCAGTGGACAGTGGACAGGCAGCCCCAGGAGGTGCCCCATCTGCTTCCACTTTTACCACTTGTCCAGTCCCAGGACTGTGCCTACTGCAAGCACAGAGTACATTCACTATGGCTAATGAATGTATAAGTGAATGAACAAATGAATGGGTGGATGGACAGATGGGCAAATAGGTGAACATATGGACAGATGAATGGATGAGCAGATGGAGGAATGGATGCATAGATGGAAGGGTGGAAGATGGATGGATGGATGGATGGATGAGTAGA